TAAATTAAATCAAAATTCAGCTGTTCGTTCCTTCCAATGACTTGATGACGTCAATTCAAATTTTAAGTAAATCTGGCTTGAAATTTATAATAGTGTCTACATGTTCATGTATTTGTTGTTTAATAGCGTATCCATTATTTTGATATGCACACATACGTATGTAAAAACAAATTATTTGTTCCCTCTAGGACGTCATTGCAAAAATGCATTAAATAAATGTTTGTTAAAAAGTATGCCTCGAGACATCACTAGCCAATGAATCAATTAAGTAATTCTCTTGATTTCTAAAATTCTAGGAACACAGTGCCTATTTTTTTATTTAACATATCGAGCAACGTTTTTAGACAAGGTAGACAAGGCTTAGCTCCTTCTTGAGACCATCACGGTAAACAACACTGCATAGGATGGAGTCCTTGTAGGACGAACCGCATTTTTTCTGCCTGCAGCGTTTCACGATTTGAAAACATGGACGTAACACATTCGTCCCCTCAGAGTGTGTAATATAGTTAATGTAAGATGTGTTGCCTACCTATTGTGTACATATGTAACCATACTTTATATCTGAATAAAACCAGTATACTCCTGACTCTGAGTCTGAACAGACATCACATGGCGCTGCGACAAATTGTTTCAATTTAAACAAAATTAAAGAAGCAAAATACAGTAAAATGGAGAGAACACTTCCCCCGATGAATTTCACCGACAATTTGGCCGTCAATTGGCAAATTTGGAAACAACGATTTCAAACATACCTAATTGCGTCGGAAACAAATACGAAAGAGGAAGCAGTTCAATGCGCCCAACTACTCCACTTTATGGGTGAAGAGGCCCTGCACATCTATAATACTTTCACCATTGCAGACAATGAACGCAACAAAATTGCCGTTCTACTGGAAAAATTTGATAATTACTTTATCCCCAAAACAAATGTAACATACGAAAGGTATAAATTCGTTAATCTCAGACAGACCCCACAAGAATCCATTGAACAGTTTACCACACAATTAAAGAATCAAGCAAACAAGTGTGAATTTGGAAATCTAAAGGATGACATGGTAAAAACGATATTAATATCAGGCATACAAGACGAAATACTACGGGAAAAACTTCTATACCAACAAAACAAAAACCTACAAGACGTAATCGAAGCCTGTATTTTATGGGAAAATACAAAATTACAGAGTCAAGATATGCAAAAACAAGTTCATGAAATACAACAAAAACGAGGAACTACGTTCTCACACAAAATGCAGCCAAGGTCAAAGACTACAGTTGCACCAAAAGTAACACGTCATCAACAAGCTGTGGAAACAAGAATCAACAGGTCAGTGCAAGATCGTTTCATCACTAATTGCAATAAATGTGGCAAATCACACAAAATTAATAACTGCCCAGCTTATGAAAAAATCTGTAATTTCTGTAAAAAGCTCAATCATTTTTCTGTAGTTTGTAAAGCTAAATTACGTAAATCCTTGCATGAAGTAAATACAAAACAAGAAAATGACAATAAAATAAAATTTTCCATTGACAGTGTAAACTATAAAAACAACTCATGGACTGTAAATTTACAAATACACAACATAAATTTAATATTTAAGGTAGACACAGGAGCTGATGTTAACATTATGTCATTACAAACATTTAATAAATTAGGTCTAAGTTTGTCAATAATAAAAAAATGTATGAATAAATTATATGATTATAACGGTAATCTGATACCTACAATAGGAAAATGTATCATTACTTCTAAATTTCAAAACAATGACTATGAAATTGAATATTTTATAGTAAAAGGTTATAATCACAGAAACATTTTAGGTTTAAGTACGTCTGAAAGGTTAGGCTTAATAAATCGTATAAATTTTGTTAACCTAAATAATCATTATCAAACTTTGTTAGCGAAGTATAGTTTGGTTTTTGAAGGCATTGGCATGCTAGGAAAGCCGCATAGCATCGAATTAAAAGAAAATGCACAACCAGTTTCGCACCCAATAAGAAAAGTCCCATTTGCAATTGAGGAACAATTTAAACAATATCTAAAACATTTGGAAGATAATAAAATAATTGAAAAAGTACATGGTAGTACAGACTGGCTCAATTCATTTGTAATAGTCAAAAAATCAGATGGATCGCTTCGCATTTGTCTAGATCCGAAAGATCTCAATAGAGCAATTAAGAAGCAAAAATTTAAAATTCCGGTCATAGACGAAATTATGAAAAACTTAAAGGATTCTAAATATTTTACAACACTAGATGCAACTACTGGGTTTTGGAATATTCCACTTGATGAAAAAAGTAGTGATTTATGTGTTTTTGGAACTCCTTTTGGCCGCTACAAATTTAAACGTATGCCCTTTGGCATTACTACTGCGAGTGAAGTTTTTCAAGAAAAATTTCAACAACTTTTTCAAATGGAAGGAGTAGAGGTCTATATTGATGACATTCTCATACACGGAAAAACCAAAGAACAACACGACCAACGTTTAGAAGCCGTGTTAAAAATAGCACAAGAACAAAACATCAAATTTAATAAAGAAAAATGTCGAATTGGCCTACAAGAAGTTACATATTTAGGTTATAAATTTTCAGGCAGAGGGGTTGAAATAGATGAAGAAAAACTCAGTGCCTTAAAAGAGATGCCATCACCAAAATGTAAGAAAGATCTTCAAAGATTTTTAGGACTTATTACATATGTAGGAAGATTCATTGAAAATCTTTCAGAAAAAACTTATTTGTTAAGACAACTTTTAAAAGAAAAGAATTCATTTGCATGGGAAGAAGAACAAGAAAAAGCGTTTCAAGAATTGAAGAATCTTTTGATGCAACCTCCTTGTTTACAATTTTTTAACGTAAACCTTCCAGTCACAATTTCTGTAGATGCATCCAAAAATGGTTTAGGAGCGGTGCTAATTCAGAACGGGTCACCTTGTGCATATGCATCAAAATCCATGACATCTACTCAAACGAAATATGCACAAATCGAGAAAGAACTATTAGCAGTTTGCTTCGGAGTGGAAAAATTTCACCAATACATATATGGACAAAAATTTACTGTGGAAACTGACCATAAACCACTCATACCCATTTTTAAGAAAAGTCTAAATGATTGTCCAGCTCGTCTTCAACGTATGCTACTGTCACTTCAAAAATATGACATTGAAATCAAATACAAACCTGGAAAAGAACTAATTATTGCAGATCATTTATCGAGATCAATGTCACCAAAAGTATATCAAGAAAAAATGGACTTAGAATGTCAAATTTGTCTAATAAATGATCGCATAGAAATCAGTGACGAACGCTTAGAAGAAATGATAAGTGCAACAGCTGAAGATATGGAAATGCAAGAACTGAAACAATACATAGAAAACGGATGGCCACAAAACAAAAGTAAAGTACCAGACAACATCAAAAAGTATTATAACTTCAAGAATGAATTATTCCAAGGAATGGGTTTAATCTATAAAGGAAATAAAATAGTAATACCCTACAAAATGCGCACTAAAGTCTTAAATAGCATTCACACTGGTCACTTCGGAATAAATAAATGCATTCAACGAGCAAACCAAGCAATCTACTGGCCAAACATGAATGTAGAAATAGAAAATTTTGTCAGCAAATGCCAAATATGTCAACAATATAGTCGAAACAATACAAAAGAACCACTAATATTACACCAGATTGAAAAAATTCCCTGGTTCAAAGTTGGAATTGACATATATGAATTGTATGGAGAAGTCTATTTACTCGTAGTAGACTATTATTCAAAATATGCTGAAATTGCAAATCTTAACAGAAACATGACCTCAACCTCAGTTATAAAACATCTGAAATCTATTTTTGCTAGACATGGAATACCAGCTATAGTAGTCTCAGATAGTGGCACACAACTGATTAGTCAAGAACTACAAAAATTTGCAGAAGAATGGAAATTTCAAATACACCCTAGTTCTCCATATCACCAACAAGGAAATGGAATGGCAGAAAGAACCATTCAAACTGTCAAAAAACTATTAAAGAAAACAATCGAAACAAAAGCAGATATTGAACTTGCCTTACTAGCTTATCGAAACACACCTGTATATGGCACCTACACACCATCACAAATTCTAATGGCAAGATTACTTCGAGATAACGTACCGAGATCAAAACATCATCTTGAACCTCAACTAATCGAGCGAAATAAATTTCATAAAGAAATGGAACAAGCCAGACAGAAACAAAAGAAATACTACGACAGAAGTACTAAAGAGCGACCAATTCTAGAGAATCTTATATATTATCAGGACAAACCTGGCACTCTATGGAAAAAAGGAAAAATAGTGAAATCACTCAACGATCGTTCCTATCTTATACAAACGGAGGAGGGTAAAACCCTACGAAGAAACAAACAATTTCTCAAACGTAGAAGGGAGGAAATAGATATAGGAACGAATATTGAGAATGATATCGGTACCAATGAAGAACAAGACAGGGTACAACAACATGCAACCTTAGTTGTGCCAATTCCTCCGAATAATCGAATATCACTTCAAAATAGACCGCATAGAACGATTAAGAAAAATCCAAAGTATTTTGGTCCCCAATTTGTTAATTCCTAAGTTAGTAATAATTTATGTCTTGTATACATACATTAGTGTCATTGTGTTATTATTAGTATTAGTTTTATAAAAAGAAAGGGAGATGTAATATAGTTAATGTAAGATGTGTTGCCTACCTATTGTGTACATATGTAACCATACTTTATATCTGAATAAAACCAGTATACTCCTGACTCTGAGTCTGAACAGACATCACAGAGTGCATCATGTATGGTTGCTAACACCAACATACACAAGCGTCACCCCACCGTCCCCACCTCCAAACGCAATTCGTTGGAGGCCATTAAAGTTGCTTGTCCTCGTATCGATCTAGCTAGTTGCCGCCAGATGAGTCGCACCAGTTCGCGTTGCTTGCGTTGAATCATCACAAGGTCAAACAGTTATTTACGGCTTACATAAATGGCGAGACAAAAGTGGAATAGTGACGAAATCTGCAAGTTCTTGGATATTTACGAGCAATTCGACATACTGTGGAACTCGCGACTCCCAGACTACGTCAACAAACACAAGCGGGAAATAGCCCTCGAAAAGCTACTGCACGTGATAGCACAAAGCGGACTGGGCCATTTCAACGTGGAACAACTACGAAAAAAAATCAAGTCTATTCGAACCGTGTATCGCATGGAGCTGCTCAAAATTCTCAAATCGCAAAACAATTACAAACCGAAGCTGGTGTGGTTTAAAAGAGCTAACAACTTTTTGCGGAGTGTAATGACTGACGACGCAACTTTACCTGTTAATTCTGTGTCGGTTTCTGATCCGCTGCATGTAGAGGCTACAGTCAAAGAAGAATCTAACGATATCACAGTAGCTGACGATGACGACGACGAACTGATGGATCTACAAGAAACAGAAACGTGCAGTTTGCCAGCTATTCCTTCAACTTCGGTCAACAAGTCGACAGAAGATGAATTCAGTGTATTTGCTCGACATGTGGCAATGCAGTTAAGAATGTTGCCTCTAGTCAAGGCTTTGCATTTAGAGACTGAGATTCAAAAACTTATTGCAACAGAAAGAATTTCTTGTTTATCAAATATTAAAATAGATGATGGAGTGAAGTTCGTTGACGAAAAATAAATGTTTTAACATTTATCTGCATTACCTTTTTTTGGTAATAGTGTCGATCCTCATAAATACGCACATCGTAAACTTTGTATATTTGTTATCGGTTATAACATAAATGTAAAAAATGCTTTACCTAAACTGATTCTTGTTGATAAAAATAAATGATACTGTAAAACCTATCAATCCAAACTTCTTTTTCACAAAAATGTGTAAACAAGGAACAAGGTGTTTGAAGTAATAGTAGTCGATGAGTAGTCGTTTTATTTATGCGATATTTCACTGTCATTCGTTTTTCACTGTTGGTGAACGTGAAAATGACAACTCGTTTATCTTTCACCATCTGCAGTAAGTTATTTAAGCTTAAAATCACATAACCTACAGAAGCTGGAACAGAAATGATGTGCTCTTAATGCGTTTGATCTTCAATCTGCAATGTAACATAGAATCTACGCTAAAAGTCTCTGATGAACAAACGGTTTCCATGTATTGTGATATGAATCATTAACGCCTACCAATCCGAAATAAATTAATAATGACTAAGTCGTAGTTATAAAGTTTATATGCTTTGTGATTCACGTTTTGGGGCGATTTTGTGTTCAAACATTCATGATTAAGAATTCTTTCTTACTACAATTTGAAGTCAAGGGTAGGGACTATATCATTTGTCAAAATCAGACTTATCTCGGCAAGTACTGCCCCTCCCCCCCAAGCGCCCTTTATTTTCTTAGAGAGTAGGTCATTTGCCAAAATCGGTTTTATTTTGCCAAGTACTAGCCCCGCCTACACGCCCTTTATTTTCATAGGGAGGATGTCATTTGCCAAAATGAGTCTTATCTTAGCAAGTACTAGCGGGTACGCGGGGCTAGTACTTGCTAAGATAAGACGATTTTCCTAAATGTTTTTTTGCTAAAAGTTTTTCGTTGTTGATCTACAATTTAAAACCATGCTGATGTTCTGGTATGTAACTTTTCACTACAGGATAGGTATAAGAATGTGGAATTAATTCAAAAATCTTAGAAAAATTGGAAAGGAGGGAAAACGGTCTGCAATTTTCAACTTTATCATCACCGAACATCAAAACAGGACAGATCTTAAATTCTTCTTACTTTGTAAGGAAAACCCCTGTTTCAAGAGATTTATTAAATATTAATAGGAGTGGTTTAAAAATTGGGCACTTACAATCCTTGATTATGAGGCTTGGGATCTGATCAGAACCTGATGCCATACCTTGTTTCAGTCTTTTTTAACAAGTACTAGGCCCGCCCACCCGCCCCGTATTTTCCCAGAGGATATGTCATTTGCCGAAATAAGTCTAGTACTAGCCCCACCCATCCACCCTTTACTTTCTTAGAGGGTATGTCATTTGCCAAAATCAGTCTTACCAGGTCCTAGCCCCACAAAATCGGCCTCTCTTTTCTTAGAGGGTGTGTCATTAATTTGCCAAAATCGGTCTTATTTTAGCAGGTACTAGCCCCGCTCACCCGGTTTCTCTTTTCATATCAGGTATCTCATTTGCCAAAGTCAATTTTATCTTAGCAGGTATTAGTACCGCCCACCTGCCCCCTATTTTCTCAGAGAATATGTCATTTTCCAAAAGAAGACTTATGTTAGCGAGTACTAATACCTACTAAGATAAGATTGATTTTGGCAAATGACATATCGTACAAGGAAATAGAGGGCCGGTGGGCGGAGCTAGTAGTTGCTAAGATAAAACTGAACAAATTAAAATAGGCACTAGAATAAAGAGGAGGCGGACGGAAGGAGCTATTGCTTGCTTATAAAAGTCTCTGCAGGAAAAGTTAAACCTCGCCCCGCCCACCCGCCCGTTCTCTTATTTTTCTTCTAAAATAAAAAATAAATTTTAATCTAAAAAGTATAACAAAAATTATGGTTAGCCAATTGTTTTTCTTTTTTAACAGCCCCACTCCCATTCTATAGAAGAACATATAATTAACCCCCACCCACCCACCCCGCCTCAATTTCAGTGATTCATTTTATCTGCTCTGAATGAAAGTGGATCCTATATAGAAGAGAAATAAAATTAGTTTTTAAAATGAGAAGAGCGTGGGTGGGTGGGCGTGATTAGTAGCTTCTAAGACAAGACTGATTTTGGCAAATGACATATCTTACAATGAAGGAGAGGGCGGGTGGGCGGGAGTAGTATCTGATAAGGTAAGATTGATTTTGGCATATGACATATCCTACAAAGAAGGAGAGGGCGGGTGGGCGGGGCTAGTAGTTGCTACGATAAGACTCAACAGTATAAAGAGTAGCCACTTGATATTGTGGTGACCGAATTGAAATCAAAGTTTTCGCTGTGAAATTAATTAACAGCGGCTCGAAATCACATTTGAATAATTTGAATTTGAAAGAAAAAAAAAATCAAACACAAAAAAAGAAATCGTTAAACATAGGCAACCAAGTGCACGGTAACGCTTGCAGGATAGTTGGACGCTAGGAGGATTTTAGTGAGAGGGTTGGTTGGTTGATTGGTAGACAGAAGGCAGCATGTTGAAAGCGGGAGGGATTATCTTTTACATTATACTGCGAACTGGCGGGGGGTTAAAATAATTTGTTCCCTTAGGCGGTTATCATGGTTATTATCATCGTTATATTGATTACATCATCGAAGCTTGTCATCGCAACGCTAAAGATTGATTACATCATTGAGGCTTGTCCTCACAACGCTACAGATTGATTACTTCATCGAGGCATGTCCTCGCAACGCTTGAGATTGATAACATCAACGAGGCTTATTCCTCGCAACGCTAAAATATACACCATCGAGGTATTCCCTCGCAACAATAAAATTACATCACCGAGACGCTTATTCCTCGCAACGATGATTGGATATTTTTGTGTCTGTTTATTATGTGTTTTGTTGGGGTAATCAGTTCGCGGTATTCTAAACTCTTAAAGTAAATTGTTTTTTTTTAAGTAACCAATCCCTTAGATCATGAAATAATTTGACATAATGTAAACTTTTTGTTTGAATCGTTGATAAAGTGTGGCAAATATTAATCTCATGTAAATTTTATTAACTTTGCAAATTTTCACCTCATACAATATTTGTCTATCTCACAATTTTAACTTCAGTAATTTTCTTTGTTGTATAATTTTAATCGAACGTAAATTTCATGCTCTGCAGTTTTAATCTCACATAATACCTATTTTTATTTGCAGAAGTATATTTCACACCAGATCTTTTATTTTAAAAATCTTTACTAGTTTTGTTTTGTAAATACTTTGTTGATGAACGTTTCTATCATATAAATTATTTGATGTCCAATTTTAATATCACATAAGATTTATTTGTTGTTTAAAATTTCACAAGATCGTATGGCAAATTTAAATGTTGTTTATTGCCCTTTGAAACTTTGACACTTGTTCAGTTATTACTAATATCCGAGTTGTAAGACATTGAACATTTAAAATGGAATTGAGGTTGTCAGCTTGACTTCACCCCTAGTTTTCCATCGAAACGGCCTGGTTAGGACGGCATGTTCGTCATGGAGATGTGCGGTGCGGTAGACTTGCCCATAGATAGAATCACCGTCGCGGGGGAGACCAGCCCGGACCGGGAGCCCCAAACTCCGCTTATGCTACAACGCCCCAGGGGTACTTTTGTTGTGCCCCTGTTAACTGCCGTAACTTTAAAATCTGACGCCACACGCCCGTAATAACTTGTGTATTTGCATCCAGTTACTTTAATTCCAATTTTGCTTTGTTTTTATTAAATTTGTGATATTCAAATATTTGCATTGATTTCAAACTGATGTATAGGATTTGGGTTTGTTCGTTTTTCATTTGTGTATGTCTGTCAGTTTGCGAGTGTCTTTTCTTTCAGATTTTTATAGTGTTTCATTTGAAATGTAATATGTCCGTGAATATACGATAGGGAGTTTTGGGGCTGAGGAGTGAATGCGAGATGGCAAGTCCGTATCGCATTCACTCGCAGCTTCTTTCCTCCTGAGAGGGGTGCCATCTTAGCCCCTCCCAAAAATGTTGTCTATTATTTTTTGTGTTCTTTACTCGCACGCAGTGTATGCTCACTTGTATGAAAGAACGTCTTCCCGCCATGTTTAAAAAAAACACACAACGTAGGTTAACATTTTGTTAGACGATCACAGCGAAGGTCAAATTTTGAAATTTTGAATTTTTCGCGGGCCTTTCAATTTTTTTCAAGGTCAATTTAAAGGCGGGAAGTTTGGGTTACCACAATATGAACCTCTTGCCCGATACTCTAACAATTAAGAATGTAGTCGACATATATAAACAAGTTTGTTGCAGTTGAACGCTTTTCAAAAAATCCATGCTGTACTTTCAAAGATTTTAGAAACAGCTGATAAAATTAAGACAAGACGGTAATTTTCAGTGTTAGCAATTGAGCCTGATGTATGAATGGGAACAACGTAAGTACGAGTATGTTTCCAAATTGTTGGAAAAGTTCCATTATTAAGGGAAGCGTTAAAAATGATATATGTATTTGGGAAAACTGAAAGAAAAAAATCGAGGACAAACTCGAAAAAGCAGATTGTATCATCGAAGCAGTAAAAGTGTGCAATTGAGCAGTTTTAGTTTTTATTTACAATTCGTTTTCTTGAAATTAAATATATTTACGACGGATGAGGTAGAATTTTCATTGTCAGCTGAATAATATTCATCAAGAGGATCAAATTCAATAGAAGTTGATTTATCAACAGGATTTTCGAACGTGTTATGACCACAAGAGACTTGGCCTGGAATTCTAGTTTTACCTTTTTTAGCATTGATGTAACCCTAGAATTAAATGTTGTTAATATATGCCTTTGGACCGTCGAGAACTTTCTGGTCTTACGCCGATGATGATTCATCTTCAATGCGACCGAGCGACGGAACGCTAAAGAAACGCCTGGAAGCGGAAGTAACGGAGTGACTTGAATATACTGTAGATGGAAGTATGGGTTTTAAATAGAGGCCACCTTCAGGAACGATTATTATTCAACTATTTGAGTAAAGAGAAGTTGCGCCGAAATTATTTTATACAGTCGTGTAAATTCGAGTTAGTAAGAAATAAATTGTTGAGTTTAACCCACGCCGATGTTATTCACCGAACAAACGTAACAGTATGTTCTTATATAAATGTGGCGCGTCAGCAGCAAAACAAACATTCTTACCTTCGTCGTTTGGATTAACTATTGAATTTTGGAACTGCCTTTTCGTACTTTTGATATCAAGAGTCTTCCACATTGTTCGGTTGGAAGCTCCCATGTCCGACGTTACATTAGCTAAATTTAAACAGACAACGATAATTTCTTTTACAATTCTATGTAGATAATGCGTCTTCGTCTCTGGAATCTCGAGTAAAATGATAACATACGATTTGTTTCCATCGTAAGCTTACACCTCCTAAATCCTAACATAAAAACCAAAACATGTGTAGCGGCTTCATTTAAATATGTCAATGTTGTATTTCCCAACAGTAATGAGGATCCTGGACACTATTTTTTACCTGGTACGCAGCAGACGACGACCATTCTCTTCAACGTTTATGTGCTAAAAAATAACTAAAAATTGTCAAAACATGACTCAAAAAATCATCCACAGCCAGTATAAAATTTACTTTTAACGTTTCGTGTCACAACTCTTTTCTAAAGTACCTATATTTAGGGACTCTAATATAATCTAATTCTAGAAAATGCACATTTCGACTGCAAATTTAAATTTGTTTTGATAACTTATTGGCGCCAATTTACCGTGAGTCAGTTAAAGAGCAAACGTGCCATATTTCAATAAAAATGAATACCTTAATGAATAAACATACTGCAAGGTCGTAAGTACACCTAAAATCTATATCTAAAAATAGCCAAACGAATTTAAAATGAGAATGCAAATTCAAATCTGAAGTTGCCTTCTACATGGTCTTGCATATTGGCATTTGTCATATTTTTCACAAGTATGTAACGGAATTCACAAATATGCATCTTTTTCATTCATGTTTAGGTACCGCAAATTCCTGTCGACGACATACGCTGATTAATTAGGTAAATAATGTTTACTGCTACTATTTTCCGTTAAAATTGAACACAATAAAAAAAATGTGCCTGGTTGGAGTGTGTTGCAGAACACTTTAGTTTTACTTTACGACGTAGATTTTAACATTAGATGAGTCACTGGTTTCCATAGAAAGGTGTTGTGTCGCATTATCGGACAAGATAACATTTAGGTGGAATATATGATATCACAGGTTTTGTTAAATCAGGGCCACACGTGATATTTACTTCCTTCGCTTTATTTTCTACGCTGCAATCTGTCACCTTAGCTGTTCAAGTTGAACTAATTGTCAAATGTGATAAAAATCAAAGTTGTAGGCGAGTTTCTCACGTAGTAAAAAATTTTATTCCACAGTAATATTTACATGCTCTTCTTCCGTTTCACAGTTGATGGATTTATGAAATATATTTTACATATTTTTGATAATTCGCGAACGTACTGTGTCTGTTGCTGCCTATATTGCTTTACAAGCAACACACTACATATACGAGTTTATAAAGAATGTACAGTAAGAATACTATGAGAAGAACATGTTGAGTCATCACAGTCTATCATTTACGCTTAACCAATGGTATTCTGAAAAAGAGGTATTCTAACAAGTAAATTTTCCCATGACTTTTTAGTGCTAAAAGGAACTGATCAGACTAAAGTTCAAAATACACTCAAAAATCACGAAACGAAAGATGGAACGAAACACTGAACACACGCTTTTACGTCTGCTACGATATTTTATTGGTGTGTTCTTCTCAAAGTATTTACACTCTAGTGTCATATTTGTGCCCAACGTTATATTCTGAAAATAGCTTATTTATACACAATTTAATCCATCTGACGAAAATTGTGTTAAAGATTACATTTACTTTATCTAAAATATTTTGACGTCATGGATTTTTTCGTTATCTGGATTACAATAGTGACAAAACACCCCATTCACAGAATTTTTTTATTAAATCAGCTCTCATTAGTAACAACATATACATCTCTTACACACAAAATTTAAAAATTCTTGCCACGCCCATGCTCCAAATAACTAACAAAGATTCAAATTGATTATCACACAGTGTTAAAATATCAGAAATTTCTGCAGCACGAGCCGCGCAAAAATTAGGCAACTGCCGACAATATCCTCTACAATCAGTTTGATTTAGTATAAAAATTAGTAACCCTAACGAAACTCCAGTGTTAAAATGAGGTAACTAACGCAATACTGAAATTTCATTGTTCAAAGTCCTTGGAAAAAAAAACAATCGGACGTAGTTCGCCAGTCTCGTTGTAATCTACATTCTACCGCTGATCTACGATTAGTAACAGCAAATTCAATAGACACTTAAGAAACCTGCTTCACACTCGAACAATCTTCGCTATCTCTGATCCCCGATTTGTAGTCATCCAACTCTTGCGCACACTCTTGTAACAACATCATGTGGTCCATTTTTTCCACCGTGTTCTTCAACTCGGACTCCCACACACCGTCCATGCTCTCGCCTTCGCCTCCGTTGACCGGTCTCACAGCCAACTCCTTAAATTTAACCTTCAAATCGTCCAAATCCTCGTAGAGATTCTCCCTCTCGTCCTTCTCGCTCACGGCCGAAGAATTCGTACCACTCATCGAACCACAACTCCTCAGTTCGCATTTATCCAACTCTAAATTGAAGTCTGGCAGTGTAGAATGTTTGTTCGTTAGTTCTTCGTGAGATGGCACTAGTTCCGCTCCGACGCCCGGCTCCCTGGGTCCTCGAAGCAGTTCCTCGGTGATGCTTCCTCTTTTCATGTGGATTTCGTTCGATATCTGTTCTAGTTGTTTGAGCGTTTGCGAATAGGAAGTTTTGGCTTTGACGATGTCGCGTTTTATTGTCTCGATTCGGTCCTTTTGGGTGTTGAGTTGACTTTGACAGAGCGACTTCTCGTCGAAGTACGGTCGAGATTTAATGATGGATTTCTGGAGGCGGCTTTCGAGCTGTTTCACGCAGTCTTCGGCTGTTTTGAAAATTGTCGCGCGCCGCTGGTGCTCGCGACCGCTTTCGGCTTTTTGATTCTCGGCTTCCATAACCTGAAACAAACATTGCACTTTTTACTAGTTTGAAATGTGAATCAGAATACCCAACTACTTTCAAAAGAAACTAAAAAACTATTAGTTAAATGTTATTATTTTTAATTAATTAATTAATAATTACTTAACAAATTCTGTGTTAAACTCGTTTTAAATTTTAACTCTAATTGCAAAAAATAATTGTAAAAGTAACTGAATTACTCAAAAAAAGTAATTTGTTACAATTACTCATAACAGTTTTTGAAAAGTAATGCATTACAATTACTCATTACTTGAAAAGGAATTGAATTACAATAATGAATTACTTGTAATTGATTTACTTCCAACCACTGTACTAGCTCCACCAGTCCGCCCTCCGCTTTCTTAGAGAATATGTCATTTGCCAAAATCAGTTTTAGCTCAGCAGGTAATAGCCCCGCCCACCAGTCCTCTCTTTTCTTAGAGGGTATTTGATTTGCCAAAATCACTCTTATCTTAACCAGGTACTAGCCCCGCCCACCCACCCTCTCTTTTCTTAGAGGGTATGTCATTTGCCAAAATCACTCTTATCTTAGCAGGTACTGGCCCCGCCCACCCACCCTCTCTTTTCTTGAAGGGTATGTCCTTTGCCAAAATCAGTTTTATCTTAGCAAGTTCTCATGCCTAACTTTTACTAATTTTGAACGAAATGAAGAAGAAAGAAGACTCAAAAAGGTAGAAAAATTTTAGTAAAGAGCCAAAAGAAAAGGAAAAAAATGAGGAAAAATCGAAGGAAACAAGGCAAAGGAAAAGAAATAAAGGTACTGTTTTGGAATGTCCAAGGGTTGCGAAAACAGGAAAAGGAGTTCTGGGACTACGTGGGAAAATTTGATGTGGTGGGGCTGGTAGAGACATGGGTACAAAGAGAAAACTAGGATAAATTTGAAGAGACACTACTACAAGAATATGTGTGGGAGTGTCAAGGGGCGACAAAGGAAAAGAAAAAGGGGATAGCAAGCGGTGAAATAGTAATGGGAAATCGAAAAGAAATGCAAGAATTGGAAAAGGGAAGTAATAATAAAAACGGACTAATGAAGAAAGTAATACAGCTGGATAATAATCGATGGAAAATAATAATCGTTTATAGCAAGAAAATGGAGGAAACCAAGATAAACATAGAAAAGGAAACAAAAGAAAAAGGACATGGAAAGATACTTATAGGAGGGGAGTTTAACGCAAGACTGGGCGATAAGAGGACAAGAATAATAGATAAAAAAAGGGGAAGAAATGAGGATCAAAAGACAAAGCAAGTAACAAAGAACGGATAATATTGTGGAAGATAATAGAAGAAATAGGACTGAATTCAAATAAGGACGACAAGGCTAAGAATAGGGATATGATTTGGCAAATGAAACGGAAAAAGCGGAACAAGAAAACAGCTTCGACGAAAATTGGCACTTGGAACATACAAATAATGCTAGGAGTAGGAAAAATGGAAGAAATAGCAAGGGAAATGAAAAATTATAATACTGGAATACTAGCTTTACAAGAAATAAGATGGAGCGGCGAAGGGAAAGTCGACAAAGAGGACTTTACACTATTGTATGCCGGAGAAGATAAGCAGGGAAGAAATGGAACAGGATTTATGATAAGCAAAGAATATAGAGATATGATAATAGATTTTAAAAGGACTAATGGTAGAATATCTATGATAAGAATCAAAAATAAGATTGCTCACATTACACTAGTAAATGTATATGCCCCTACGGAAGATGCAAGCGAGAACGATAAAGACAATTTCTATGGCCACTTAGAGAGAGCATGTGAATCAATACCAAAACATGAGCAAGAAAAAGGCAAGAGAGAATTATAGGAGAAAATGTGAAAAAAGAAAAAGAGAAAAACGAGAAGAAGAAGAGAAGACAATAAAGTCCCTGGGAAAATGGAGTGAGCCGTTCTTGATTTATTCAATAAAATAAACTGGCACATTCATAATTTTTTCATTTATGTCATTTGCCAAAATCAGTGTTTCTTACCAAGTACCAAGTGCCCGCCCACCCACCCTTTACTTTCTTAGAGGATGTCATCTGCCCAAATCAGTCTTATCAAGTACTAGCCCCGCCCACCCACCCTTTACTTTCTTGGAAGGTATGGCATTTGCCAAAATCAGTCTTATCTCACCAAGTACTAGCCCCGCCTACCCACCCTTTACTTTCTTGGAAGGTATGTCATTTGCCAAAATCGGTCTTTCTTACGAAGCACTAGCCCCACCCATCCACCCTTTACTTTCTTAGAGAGTATGTCATCTGCCAAAATTAGTCTTATCTTATCAAGTACTAGCCCCGCCCACCAACCCTTTATTTTCTTTGAGGTTATGTCATCTGCCAAAATCAGTCTTAGCTTATCAAGTACTAGCCCCGCCCACCCACCCTTTACTTTCTTGGAAGGTATGGCATTTGCCAAAATCAGTCTTATCTTACCAAGTACTAGCCCCGCCCACCCACCCTTTACTTTCTTGGAAGGTATGTCATTTGCCAAAATCAGTCCTATCTTACAAAGTACTAGCCCGACCCTCTATTTTTTCACAGGATATGTCATTTTTTCCATTTTTCAATTTTAAGATATTTTAATTTTTCGTTGTTTTCAATTTTGTGATTTTTCGTTGTTTTCAATTTTGTGATTTTTCGTTTAATCACTTTTAAGTTTTCGTTGTTTTCATTTTTGCCACTTTTCGTCTCTCAATTTTTAATTTTTCGAGTTTGCAGTTTTTAGACTTTTACAAATTGGTGAATTTGTCGATTTTCTATTTCTTGAATTTCAATTTTTGAACTTTTCGATGTTTCATTTTTGGAGTTTTTCAATTTTTCAGTTTTCAATTTTTGGTTTTGCGATTTTTCGAATATGTATTGGATTTTTAATTTTTCAATTTTTCGATGTTTCAGTGTTCAATTTTTAGATTTTCCATTTTTGATTATACAATTTCTCGGTGTTCCGATTTTCCAATTTTTCGGTTATTTAATTTCTAAGTTTTTCAATTTTTCAAATTTTTAATATTTTCCTATTTTTGAACTATTTTCCGATTTTTCAATGTTCGGTTATTTTAATTTTTCGTCCTTTGAATTTCGCGATTTTTCGTTTCTCAATTTTTAATTTTTCGATTTTTCATTTTTGATTATACAATTTTTCGGTATTCCGACTTTTCAATTTTTCGATTACATATTTAATTTCTCGGTTTTTGACTTTTTCAGATTTTTCGGTTTTTCAGTTTTTAGATATTTTAGTTTTTCGTTGTTTTCAATTTTGAGATTTTAAATTTTTAAAATTTTTCGAATTCTTTAACTTTTCGATGTCATTGTTACAATTTTTTGATTTTTCAATATTTTGCTTTTTTTTATTTTTTCCGATTTTTGAACTATTTTCCGATTTTTAAATTTTTGGTTAGTTTAATTTTTGTATGTCATCTGCCAAAATCAGTCTTATCTTATCAAGTACTAGCCCCGCCCACCCACCCTTTACTTTCTTGGAAGGTATGACATTTGCCAAAATCAGTATTATCTCACCAAGTGCTAGCCCCGCCCACCCGCGCTTTACTTTCTTGGAAGGTATGTCATTTGCTAAAATCAGTCCTACTTACGAAGTACTAGCTCCGCCCACCCACCCCCTATTTTTTCACAGGATATGTCATTTTTTCCATTTTTCAATTTTAAGAGATTTTAATTTTTCGTTGTTTTCAATTTTGTGATTTTTCGTTGTTTTAAATTTTGTGATTTTTCGTATAATCACTTTTTAATTTTTCGTTGTTTTCATTTTTGCAACTTTTCGGCTCTCAATTTTTAATTTTTCGAGTTTGCAGTTTTTAAATTTTTACAAAGTGGTGAATTTGTCGATTTTCTATTTCTTGAATTTCAATTTTTGAACTTTTCGATGTTTCATTTTTGCAGTTTTTCAATTTTTCAGTTTTCAATTTTTGGTTTTGCGATTTTTCGAATATGTATTAGATTTTTAATTTTTCAGTTTTTCGATGTTTCAGTGTTCAATTTTTTTAGATTTTCCATTTTTGATTATACAATTTCTCGGTGTTCCGATTTTCCAATTTTTCGGTTTTTCAATTTTTCAAATTTTTAATATTTTTCGATTTTTGAACTATTTTCCGATTTTTCAATGTTCGGTTATTTTAATTTTTCGTCCTTTGAATTTTGCGATTTTTCGTTTCTCAATTTTTAATTTTTCGATTTTTCATTTTTGATTATACAATTTTTCGGTGTTCCGACTTTTCAATTTTTCGATTATTTAATTTCTCGGTTTTTCACTTTTTCAGATTTTTCGGTTTTTCAGTTTTTAGATATTTTAGTTTTTCGTTGTTTTCAATTTTGAGATTTTTAATTTTTAAAATTTTTCGAATTCTTTAACTTTTCGATGTCATTGTTACAATTTTTTGATTTTTCAATATTTTGTTTTTTCTTATTTTTTCCGATTTTTAAATTTTTGGTTAGTTTAATTTTTGTATGTCATTTGCCAAAATCAGTCTTATCTTACCAAGTACTAGCCCCGCCCACCCACCCTTTACTTTCTTGGAAGGTATGACATTTGCCAAAATCAGTCTTATCTCACCAAGTACTAGCCCCGCCCACCCACCCTTTACTTTCTTGGAAGGTATGTCATTTGCCAAAATCAGTCCTATCTTACAAAGTACTAGCCCCGCCCACCCACCCCCTATCTTTTCACAGGATATGTCATTTTTTGCATTTTTCAATTTTAAGATATTTTAATTTTTCGTTGTTTTCAATTTTGTGATTTTTCGTTGTTTTAAATTTTGTGATTTTTCGTATAATCGCTTTTTAATTTTTCGTTGTTTTCATTTTTGCCACTTTTCGTCTCTCAATTTTTAATTTTTCGAGTTTGCAGTTTTTAGATTTTTACAAATTGGTGAATTTGTCGATTTTCTATTTCTTGAATTTCAATTTTTGAACTTTTCCATGTTTCATTTTTGCAGTTTTTCAATTTTTTAGTATTCAATTTTTGGTTTTGCGATTTTTCGAATA